GGATTAATTTCTCTACGGGGACATAGACAGCTATAAAGGCTTGATGCAAGGTCAAGCCTAACTCTTTCTCACTCTATTCACAGTAAAACTGGATTTTTGTTCTCACCATAAAATCCTTTTGCTAATCATTTATCAAGGGACACAGGATCAGCCTGCAGAGGGCACAAGTAGTCAATGCCCCCAGCAATCCGCTTTTGGTATTCAAACATCCCTCTCTGCTGTGCATAGTTAGTTCAACAAAACAGCCATCAGTCACAACACAAGGAAACTATTGTGCGATAAATAAAAGTTTGGAAACCCTAGGAATTTTCTGTATTTCTATGTGAATGGCACTTAAACAGCAATGTGATTTTCATCCATGTAAAAAGAAAGACTTTCTTATTTTTTAAAAAATATATGTTGCGTCACCCCCGAAAGAGACGTTTGGTAATTTTGGGTTCTCTGTTCTGCGCCTCAACTCCAAGATCAACCTCAGCCTCTTTGGCACATTTGGTTGAATGAAAAATGACTGCAAGCACAAGTAAAGACACAAGTGTAAATTACCTTTCGCCTGGCTGTGAGTTATTACCAGTAAATAAACACTCTTTTAGTGGCAAACACACATAATCTGTGGATATGAATTTGAATAAATGGCTGTTTGAACATATATAAGCACCCAGCAGATATATTAGAACACAATCTACTAGAGAGAGTAATAACCATGCCTCCCCCAAAATATTTAGGTTCTATACCACTAACTAGAATCAATATGTGGATTAGCAATTAACCATAAACAATTTAAATACACTTTAAATGCAGTATGAATGGTAATACTGCTACATTGGTTTAGAGTGCATGCTATGGAATGGGCAGAGGTATGGTACCTCTTTAACTAGCAAAAGGGGCAAAGCCTTGGAGTAGCAAAAGTTAGGGGCAATCTTTAGTCCTGACTCTTCAGCTGATTAAGTGTGGATTCACACATGTGCGGTGCGGATTGAAGATTAGGTTTTACAGCTAATTGATACAGTAGTTGTTCAGCGGTTCAGGCCAGGTTTACATCAGGTAAAGGTCAGGTTTACATCAGGTTCAGGACAGGTTTAGATCAGGTTCAGGTCAGGATTTTATCCTGTTTACAGCTAATGACATGTGTGGTTTAGAAATGGTTCCCATAGAAGTCAATAGCCTGTAATCCACACCTGAACCGGACAGCACTGCTCAGAAATCGTACATGACTCTTTTTCAATCCGCCCCGAATCTGTGCTGAATCCGCACTGCCTGTGCACGGCCTGCAGGCAGTATTAGAGCTATGGAGTAGCTGATTAGGTAGTTCCTAATGGCTCAGTCCCTCGGGCTGGACATTCGTTCACTCTGGGTTGCCTGCATGACTCCGGTCTGTAATGCAGCAAGTCTGTATCCTGGCAGTAGTTCAGTCTCTCTCCCTGCCCACAGGTCACAGCTCTGTACGCTGATCCTTGACACAGTAGAATGTATTCCGGTGGCCCAGTCGCTCTCTAAGAGCCTGCAATAGAACCTTCTGCTGTTCTGTTCAACTCAGGTCTGAACTTCCTCTCTCGATCTTTGCCTGGGAACCCTCTTGTTTTCCCCTCCTCTTTGTAACGCAGCTCACTGGGGGCTGTAGTGAATGCCTCATTGACCTCAATAGACTGTCCACCCTCTGGGACTACATGTCTCACGATGTCCTTCTGGTCTCCCCTGATTGGTTCCCGTCAGGGAGGGGGGGGGAAACTGGGTCTTGTTAAAATGCGTTATTGCTTAAGGCCTGGTTCACACTGTGTGGGTCGGTTGTGGCAGTGTGAATTGCATCTGCACTTGCATCCACCTGCAGTCGAATCGCACTGCTCTTACAAGATGCACAGGGCTGCCATTCATTCTGAATGGCACCTCCACGCATCTCAGTCCGCAGCTCTGCATTGTTTCCCTGTGGATGCGTTTTTGAAAAAGTGCATGCACCTTTTTTGTGTGGGGCCCAAGCAAATGCGGTCCATACGGCCCGCACTAGTGTGAACCGGGCCTCAAATGCACCTAAACCCAAAAAAGTAAGATATTGCAGCTTACCAGTCCTTATGTGTGGTGGTTGCAATAGTTTCCTCTTTAGGCTTTTTTCCCTTTATTTTCACCTGATAATCCTGCAAATAACAAACTCTAAAATTGGAGAGAGGGTTTAGAGGTGCAAGGTGCATGAATACTAGCACAAATGGGTGTACTAAATAAGCAACATGCCTTTTAGGAGCAGCCTCAAGGTAACTGCTGGAAGCAGAATAGCAGTCACAGTATTTCTGTAGTTGCAGTGGAAAGGACTGGCTTTAGTCACTTTGGAAGTAATGAAATATACCTTGAACTGAGGGCAGTGTATCCTTTTTACAATGTTCAGATGGTAGCATCTACTCAGCTCCTCTGCAACACTCTTCAGCAAGAAAATCCCATTCTCAGCCTAGCTTACTTTATTCCAGCTTTAGTTCAAGATATTGAGCCTTCAGCACATGCCTCAGCCTAGAGCAAGGCACAATGATCCTCCTGGGGAGAAGCCCCAGAGGAAGAGAGAGTTTTCAAAAGGTACTACAAAACATTTATCATCTCCCCAAACCTTACCCTTGAATACAGTACTGCAGCTCAGAGAGGCCACGATTCATTAGGCAGAGGTAGCTGGGCAAGTGGTCTGTGCCCTCCACTGTCAAAACCAGTATGTGGGCAGTCAAGCCAGAACCTATTAGCATGCAAGCTTCTCCAAAAACTATTGTGGGAACACCTCCCCAAATACTACCAGAGTGCGGTTTGAGTTTTATCCTCAGGCCTTGGATTGCTCCAGCGGTTCACTTGTGGCACCAGAGCCACCTTGGAATTCACTTTGAGGGACACTGTTTACAAGGATGAGTAGCAGTTCTGTGATGTGTTACTAAAGTAATGATTCTCAGCTTGACTCTGTTGCTATGGAGTCTTATAGAGACTATATTATGCAGCCACATGTTATCCTAACTGAGTCAGAGACATTGCCGTGAAGAGTCCATGTTTGTGCAGCTTTCATAATCTGTTTTGCATTATTCTACAGTATATTCATGCTCTTGGCCATTCTTACCTGTTTATAATTTTATTGATTCTACTTTGCACTTGTTTAGTAAACTACAGATACTCTCTGTCTGATCATTTGGTTAATTACTCATTCTGTTACACTTGGCATTGATGAACAAGATCAGCCATGTCAGACAATGGTAGTGATGGAACAGCGGCAACTGGTAGAATGACTCCAGAGTGAAGGAAACTACTTATTGTCCCTACAATAATGACCCTCCTATTACTGGCAGGATTCGTATTGCAACAATTACCAAAGTACAAAGGGCCAGGTCAGGACTTGGGTGACTTGGCCTAGAAATTGTGAGGCCTTATCCAATCATATGGAATCCTGTCTGCTCAGCAGGCAGAACTGGTCATTAATTGCAGAGAGGAGGAAGCAAGAGTTAATTGTGCAGCAGCTCCCAGCAGAAAACCAGGATAGATAGATTAGATAGAACAGCTCAGAAGTGTTGTAGAGCCAAGTGGCAACTTAGGGGACCTTAGGGCCTACTTCATTGGCAGCATGCAAAGGGTGAGAGAATCCATTTCGCACTGAAGTGGCAAGACATAGCAGAAGTGATACACCCTAGGGAAAGGGGCGAGTAGGATGGCCAGGTGGGGTGATGCCAATAGTTGAAGGAACATTTTGTAGATGGACTGCTGTCCTACAAGGTCAGAATAACATTCCAAGAGAAAGATACCCCAATTTTAAGTTCCATGTACTATTAGAAGCAGCTATAATGTGTCAGGAACAGAGACCTAAGGATTGAAGCACCTATAGCTATGGTAGGTGGAAAATGGATAGACCCATCTGCAACTGAACAGTCAGCTTCATGGAAAGTGGACAGCTGGAAACTGACAGAAAGGATGGCTCAGCTGCATGCAGATCTATCTACTTTGAAGTGCAGACAGGTTTCCTCCTCTGAGGACCAAGGAGGGGTTCCCCCTTGTGGAGAAGGCAAACACTGCCTCAGAGACATCCAAAGCAGCTGAGATCATCATCCCCAGGGTGGGGCTGTGAATTTAGGCCATCTCCAGAGAGGCGTCCCCAACCATACATGGTGAAAGTCATTAAAATAGACCACCCTGCTGCTAGTTATCAAGCAGTGGGACAACAAAGTGTAAAGGTAACAGTAAATAAATAGTGCTGCGCTTGTATTACAATATACGAGGTGTGACAATTTAATTCCAAGAACACCTACGGTGTAGCACTATGGTGGCGATTCACACAGCCATTCGCATTCAAGCGTGTTCTGACACGTTCTAACTTGCACTCATCTGGGTCGCAGTTGACTTTGTGGGGAGTAGTAGAAGAAATAACGTGTGTGCATTGCGCTGTTGGCGGAAAATGAGTGACAGGAATCACAAGAGCACTTCTTGGTATGTATGCTTGTCTAGCACTCCAGTGTCATTGGTCTAATAATGGTATGAGATGCACTGATGCCTGTGACTGCTTGTTTTTATGAGATTAGGAGAGAGATCTGGTGATGTTTTTTTATTCTGCATAAAAGGGATAGGGAGGGGTGGTCCCAAGCCAAAAATATAGTATATATGTGGGGCTTTAAGGGAGAAGAGGGAAATCAACATGTGTGCCAGAGAGAAGAATGTTACTGCTGTGAAAACTGGAGGGAAAAGCTGCTACAGGACTGGAAAGCCAGGACCTTCAAAAAAGCAAAAAAAGCATTTTACAGAAAAAGAACTAAAATGAAGGGAACCAATGCCTGAGGATTATGAAAGGACATTCAATGATGTGCATGACCCTGTTACTGCTAATATTACTGCTAATGTAGGGGACCAGTATACACTGGGACTTTGGAATATAAAACAACTGGATTGTTGGGACTTATATATGAGTATGCAGTGGACATGGAGTACTGCCAAACTGGGGACTGCTGAAAAATGTGGACCATGTGGGACCTTTACCATATTATATGTTTATACATAAAGTGTTACTAAACCCACAACAGTAAAATCAGTTTGTATATGCAATTAAGCATGCTTGTTATACTCACTGTGGAACCTAAGGGGTTAATCCTCCGCATTGTGTAAAAATGCTGTTTGATGCTGACTTCTCTGATTCTCGACTTCTTCCAGTGTCCCCCTCTTATATCCTGATAAGACATATCATGTGGAGACACGCTGCACATGCTCAGTTTGGTGCTTTTTACTAGAAAGGTTTTTTTTTTCTTGGGAGAGTGCATGTGATCAGCACAGGGCCAATCAGCACTGTCCAGACAGAGATCAGGGGTTCTGCATCCACCTAGAGCAGAAAGAAAACTCCTACAGTGCTCTGCTGAACACTAATAGAAGTCACAAGACTGCTCCAACAGCTGACGAGAAAAGGTATTTAACAGTTTATATTTACTAAAATAATTGCATTTCCATGTAGTGTGTACTGTGGGAGACCAGATATAGTGAATGCAGGGTCCTGGGTTTAGTAACACTTATTGGATCTGTTTATGGCACATACCAACTGCTAATTGATGTTGCTTTGGTGTGTCAATTTTCCTGGTACTATATTTTTGGACCTATTTTTACAGTAAAGAACCTATTTGTTTAGTCCAGTGGGCGTTGAGCTTTCTTACCTGCCAAATCTCAGTTACAATATCATTACTGTACTGCTTTCTCCTTGAGTTTGCCTCAGCATTATGTGGATCTGCAATTTTTGTACCTCTCATGCTGCTTCTTGAGTGTCCCCCAAACAGTCATCAGCATTCCCGAGAACAGGTGGTGGAGTACGAGATGAAGTGGTGGGCGGGGCTAATCACACTGAATGTTGGGTGTGGTTGAATCGAGCTAAAAGTGGGAGAGGTTTAAAGGATTGTTACTAAATATGATAAATGACACTTCATTATCAATTTAACGGTTTCCCAAAACACGGCATGCCATGAATGCCTCAGTTGCCAATGTGCTTACATTAGCTTTCAATGAACTGTCCAGCCATTAAATGGCTGGTATCATAACTGATCACATGTGCAGCACTGTGACAACTGCCGATTAGAGGCCAAGATGGCAGCTTCCTTGGTTGTAAAAAAAAAAAGGGTTAAGTTCTTTTTTAAATGTGATGTAGTGCTGCCCTCTCAAGGGCCACTGAATATCTTTTTGGGTTCCCTGTGTGTCCCGAGCCTGCTCTGAGAGCACAACCCCTGCTGACACCACCGTAGACCTTTGACCAGGAGGACCCCCTGGCTTTGAACCATAAAATAAACACACACAGTTTAGAGAGAACAGATATTGATTTGAGGTCAGAATATAAGGAGTGCAAGCACGACAAAAAAGCATAAGATAAGAGTTAAACACTCTAAAAGGTTCAACAAAGTAATGAAACACTATCACTTTAAGCAATTCCCAGATGCCCTGCAGGATCAGAATTTAAACATCAATTCCAGTTTCTGAGACATTTCTCCCCTAGTGAGCTGGAATTAACAATCAAACTGTCAGGCTAACTCACTTTTGGGTTCTCTGTTGCTGGTAACTGGGTTTAACTCTGGAGGTGAATACTTTGCTTACGAGTAACAATATCCCCTTTTTGTATCTCCTTAAATAAATAAACATCTTTACAAACACACAGAACAGCAATCTGGCTGTTTTTCCCCCTGAAATCAACTCTGAGCTCAGGCAGAATAGATAGCCAGTTTCCTGTGAGCAAAAGCAGCATGCACTTGTAAGGCACACAGTTAACCCCTTGATTGTCCTTCTGATCACCCCTGTCACCCATTAGTGTCATTAGTACTGTGTACTATGTATAGTATTATCACTTTAAGTTGCTGATCACTGTATTTACTAGTATAGTGTCTATAGCTGCATAAATTCCAGTATATATACCATCGTTTGTAGATGCTACAATGGCAAGATAGAGGCTAAAGATTCTGACTCCAAGATTTCTAGCATAGGCCATGTAAAACACCTAACACTACAGTTCCTGGGTATGATATAGGTCTCCACCATGTAAGCCTATGTTTGAGATATATATATATATATATATATATATATATATATATATATATATATATATATATATATATATATATACAGTTGTGGCCAAAATTATTCAACCCCCACTGAAATTGAGTGTTTTTGGCCAGTTTGACATTGCTTTTGATCATTCAGTCATCTTGCTTACATTTACATTAAAGAGGCACTTGTAGGTCAGACAAATATAACATAACAGTTATAATGAAATAACCACAAATGTCTTTTCTGTGCTCACAGCATTATCAGTTTTATTCAACCCCCAAGTGACATTCAATCTTAGTACTTAGTACAGCATCCTTTTACAGTTATAACAGCTTTTAAACGTGAAGCATAGCTTGACACAAGTGTCTTGCAGCGATTACGGGTATCTTCGCCCATTCTTCATGGGCAAAGGCCTCCAGTTCAGTCACATTCTTAGGCTTGCGCACTGCAACTGCTTTCTTTAAGTCCCACCAGAGGTTCTCAATCGGATTTAAGTCTGGTGACTGCGATGGCCACTCCAAAATGTTCCAGCCTTTCCTCTGCAACCATGCTCTAGTGGACTTGGAGGTATGCTTGGGATCATTGTCCTGTTGAAAGGTCCAACGTCTCCCAAGCCTCAGGTGTGTGACGGACTGCATCACGTTTCCATCCAATATCTCCTGGTACTGAAGAGAATTCATGGTACCTTGCACACGCTGAAGCTTCCCTGTACCTGCAGAAGCAAAACAGCCCCAAAGCATGATTGACCCTCCACCATGCTTCACAGTAGGCAAGGTGTTCTTTTCATCATAGGCCTTGTTCTTCCTCCTCCAAACATAGCGTTGATCCATGGGCCCAAACAGTTCTAATTTTGTTTCATCAGTCCACAGAACACTATCCCACAACTTTTGTGGTTTGTCCACATGGCTTTTGGCATACTGCAGTCGACTCTTCTTATTCTTTGGAGACAGCAAGGGGGTACGCCTGGGAGTTCTGGCACGGAGGCCTTCATTACGCAGTGTGCGTCTTATTGTCTGGGCTGAAACTTCTGTACCCACATCTGACAAATCTTTTCTCAGTTCCTCAGCAGTCACACGGGGACTTCTCTCCACTCTACGCTTCAGGTAGCGCACAGCAGTCGAAGTCAGCATCTTCTTTCTGCCACGACCAGGTAGCGTTTCAACAGTGCCCTTTGCCTTGAATTTGCGAATGATGCTTCCTAAGGTGTCTCTTGGTATGTTTAACATCTTTGCAATCTTCTTATAGCCATTGCCCTTCCTGTGAAGAGAAATCACCTCTTCTCTTGTCTTCCTGGACCATTCTCTTGCCTTCACCATGTTTGTAACCACACCAGTAAATGTCTAGAAGGAGCTGAGTATCACAGTCATTTTAAAGCTGCCTAATTGGTGCTTATTATGCTTGATTGCTGCTCGGTGACATCCACAGGTGTTTTCAATACCTGATGGAAAGCACCTGTATGAACCTCTGTTCTTCAGAGTGGTAGTCTTTAAGGGGTTGAATAATTGTGGCAATGAAGAAACCACATAAGAACCATTTACTACTGTATTACATAAACAATTGATGTCATTTTAGTTGCATTTGGGTAGTTACAACGTCCTTGTAGGATTTGATTCTGAATACAATTCCAAATGTACACTATAGTCCCTAAACCCCTTTACAGCATTGGGGGTTGAATAATTTTGGCCACAACTGTATATACCTAATATGAAAATGCAGTCTATTCTTTTGAAAACAACTCTTTGATTTTTATCAAAGAGTTATTTCCAGGTTCCATTCTTGTAAGACTATTCATGGGCTTCTTGCCTTGGCATTTGACCTCTTTCTTTTTATTAAAACAGCCGTGTGCACATACTGTATGGCACATACTGGAATTAGTTAGTTGATAAGTAATGTGGAGCATTTTATAAATAAGCTGTGACTGAGGTTGACAAGCTGGAGTAGGACTGCTTGCCAGTAGGAAAGAATGAAAATAAAATGCTTTTTTTAAACTAAAACACACATTTGTCAGATTCATGCTCCAAGTCATGCATGATGAAAAATCAAACACCAACTGTCAGTTAACAGAACACAAAAAACTTATCTTTTTTTTTTCTCTTAATTTTATATTCTCATCTTAGTATCCCTCCCACACAAAAGCAAAAAAAAAAAATCTTATGAGGCTCATAAAATCACAGCTGCCTACAAGCCCCTGAATATCTCTTCAAGTCGAGCTCTGCCTAATACCTCATCCGCGCTACTATTTACATAATTTTATATAGCTGCTCTGAACGCACAGGCTTGCCACAGCTGAGAGTGGCTCCCGTTGGGGAGAAGAAAAATATGCTTTTAGATAGAAATGTGTCAGACTATCTAAAGCAAACTCTCTTAGCTTGGGGACACTAGGTTTAAAAGGTAATTTGTTACCCTTTGATAGAAAATAACGCTAGACTGCTTTTTTTTTAAGTCTGTCACACTGCATGTTCTAACAGGATATTCTAAGAAGTAATGGAAATAGAAAACACATTTTAATAATGTTGGGCTGTGTGTGCATTTATATAGTTATAAATCTATCCCCGGCTAGCTATTGGTTGTCACTTCTCTCTGGGAGAGTCTGTATCATTCTGCACAAGAAATAGACAAATGCGGTAGAGCAAAGCACTTCCACATTTGTCCCTAGGACCATGGAACTGTGAACCGCTGAACAACATGTGCTTTACACCTTGCCCATCATGAACCTGTCAATAGCATGCTAGCTATATACTGGTATTGAGTGCATCTCAATGATGGCCCCAGTTTGGAGTTCTCTTTTAGCTGTGTAGACTTATAGAAGAATACATTGGAAAGGGTTCTTTTGACGCTTGGATATCTTCTCCCCGTGTCTGTTTTTGTTCTGTTCTATGTGGGCATTGTCCAAGTTGGGGAAAGCCAACAGTTATTGCAGCAACATCAAAGAAGCATGAAGTTATGCTGGCAAAATGAGTGCTGCCCTCCTTGTCAGCATTTGCCAGTGAGACAATAGGTAATGCTACAGTGCTTTTGTCTAGAGCAGCCTTTCTTTTTACCCTGAAGGTACCCTTGAAATAATGTTCAGGTACTGAAAATTATTATACTTACAGATCATGGCACATTAGTGCCATCAGCGAGTTTAAGAACATTTAAAATAAAAAGAATAAAGAATGTGGAGTATTGAGTACTGACAACCAGGAAAGATAATTTTTAACACTCACCTGCTTTTTACAACAAAACTATTTTCAGTAAAATAAAATGAATAATGTAAACTGGAATGAAATGTGTGAAAATTGTGGTTCCCCCCTTTACGTTGTCTGTCAGTGGAAATTGTCCCTTTGCATAGGTGGTCATTGTAGGTGAGAAATCAATTCGCCAGAGCTCAAGGAACCCCTAGCAATTTTAGAAGGATCCCCAGTGAGAAAGGCTGGTCTAGAGACAAAAGTGATTCAGGAGCCGCCATTTGTTTGAGGAAATC